CTGTATATCATAAACCTTCGAATATAAAAACGACTCAATGAAATCTGTAATCCAATAATAACGTTAAGTAGAACGGGCCGAAGCGGTCAACGTGGCGTTGTGTATTATGTCTGTGGGTTGGACAGCAAGGTGCTCATCAAAAAAGGCAATATAAAGAGATTACATGCATCAGAGATAAAATAATATAAAATAAAGTCTTCCCCAGATTATAAAGCTCTTAAAGCTGATTCTTTGTGTTGGTGGAGAGTTGGTTGGACTTGAACAGGTTAGTTTAACTTTAAAAGAAGCTGAAGTGTCAGAATACAAACAGTATAACTCTAGTAACTCAACAGAGGACAGTAATGTGAGATATCAGTCGATCTCTGCTCACAAACCCTTTCTTTACTTTACTTCTCCGTCTGTCCGTTCTTGTCACTTTTCTCTCGTAATGCCGAGACGCCTCTTGAATCATTCATACTCCATTTAGTCTGAGCTATGAATATTCCAACCACAGTCACCGTTCCCTCCGCACAAATGACCGTAATCACTCACTTTAATGTGCCCGGCCAAGTTTAGCCGATGCAGAAGGCAACAAGGATATGGTGGCGAAACAGAAATTATTGATTAGTCCACGTTTGACTCTGATTGACGTCCCGGCTTTTTTTTTCATCTCCGACGTCTGCGAGGACATTTATGGAATCGCTGGAGACTTTAATATAGTCGGGACATTCGTGTTGTACACTTCTTATTTTTATCCACCACTACAGATTTATAATGAACTCGACATCAGGGAAGGATTCTGGTTCCTCCTGTCACTATATCCACTCTATATTTACTGTGTCTTCAGTGAAAAACACGACCTGTAAGTGTAGTTATAATCTAATATTTTGACACATTTAGATCTGTCGGCGTTGAACCATTAAACCGCTTTCTGTTTATCAACTTCGTCTCTAATCTCACAGTTGTCATCTACTTTATCTTAGCAGCTAGTGATGGTTTGTCTATCTCTCCCTCTCTGTTGTTATTCCTCTGCCTCCTTCGGTGATAAGTGTGGTTTATTTCGCTGTGGTTATCCAACCCGCAGCGGCCGATGCTAGTTATGATAATATCTAGATTGTCACTCACTCTCTGGCAGAATTACTCTGCTTGTTTCAGCCTGAAATACATTTAAGTTTTAATCAATGGAAGTGACGCTGTGAGTCCTGTCTGTCGAGCAGAAGCCCACGCAAGGTTTATTTATATCTCTACATGACTACTCACTTTATATTTAAGTGTTCACCATTATTTTATCTTACAAGGAACCATTTTTAGGGTTTAGAGCTGATTTCCAGTACTGTCAGTACACATCTTTAAAAGTGCAGTCCTTAAATTAAATATGTTTAAGTCTTACATGTATTAAATTCAGGTGCACATTCGAATTTCTCCTTTTTAATGCCTCCCTCCCTAAGGATTAGTCTTAATCTGCATCTGGTAAACAAGCTTTATAAGTATAGGCTCAATTAACTTTGTCGTCAGCGTTGCTCTTAGGAAAGTGATTCTCTGTTGCAGACATTTTAAATCACTGACTCTAGAATATATGAGGAGTTTTCTGTAGTTTTTTCAGATTAAATGAATGAATTTAATTTGGTAAAGGGTGACTGGAGGTTGCAGACCAGGTCGTTGCAGGTTCGCTTCCCTTCGAAAAACAGTTTTAATGTTGTGAATCACGCTGCACTTTCCAGAGATTACCTGCCAATCAAACAGTGGGAGCGGCTTTGTGACGTCAGGGTTTATTTTGTCTTGGTGCACTTTCTGTTGTCCTGTCATGGCTGAAGACTTCTTATTTATTTAATCTAAAAAGATCAAATTAAAGGCTTTCCTGTGTGTCCGAGAAAAAGAGACACCAAACGTTGTTTTGCTTTGAGTAGGAAATAAAAACATCGTCAATAAATGTGTTTCATAATAAAAGAATTTATATGACATAGTCACAAGTTACTGAAACTATTGTATGCACCATTTGGCTGTAAAAATGTGCTATAAAACACTTTATTTGGATGGTAAACCTACAGATAGTCTGTAACATTTCAGCTGTTTTATCTGCAGATTATTTATCTACAGCGTCCAGAGTTTTTTAAACCGAGGAAATTTACACCCAAACATTTTTTTTTACCAGCCATAAAACTGCATCATTTGACTAAAATAACTCCTTACATCTCTAATAACATGTTACGCAGATGTTTCCCACAGAAACAGCAGACAGACGGCGTGTAAAAAGCACCAAATATTAGTAAACCTCTTTACATTTGAAAGGTATGGTGGGCAGTGAGGGTCATAGTAACATTTTTATTAATCAATGTAAAACCAAACCCAACATTTACCCACATTTAGTGGATGTTATTTTGGATCCTGTTTGTAGAGAATAAGTGATAATTCATGAACATACCTGGTATCTGTTTGTGTCTATAATATGTAAGAATGAATCTTAACTCACAATTTAAGTACAACTCATGATTAAAGACAAATTAAAACTGAAAAAGATTCTTTAGTTTCTTTATCAAACTATAGAAAGCTTCTTTATTTGTGAGCTGGAACATAAACTGAATATTTCCTTTTGTCTAACGAGCTCTACTACAAACTGTAGTCAGACTCTCCAAATAAAGTGTTAAATTGGGTTAATATTGACGATGCCTTAGCGACACTGGTGTGATTGGCTGCCTGACCTGGTCCCTTTTTTATTTGCCTCAGTTGCAGAAGAACGAGGCTTTAATTTGAAACCGCCTCATATCAGAGTCAGGTCCTTTTTATTTCTAATTTTCTCTGTTTCATTAGTATATTTTATCGCTTTTCTTTGTCTCCGTTTTCCGATGTGTTTCCTGTTTTTAATTAGCAGTTTCTTCCTCTACGTCTACCTGATGTCTTGATTTAATTCAATAAAAATCTTTATTCCTCAGCACTAATTCAGTTCAACAACCTGCTCGTGTCTTAATGTTGCTCAGAGTTTCCCCTCGCTAAGAGAGTCATTTCCACTTGAATAGGTTTTTATATATATATATATATCATTATTGCTGCTACTGTCAGTGAAACAACTTCCTTCACAGATGTTTCACATTTAAACTCAAGTCTTGAATTCCATCGACAGCAGCCTTACACAGCGAAACAGCAGAGTAAAAGTGAAAAAATACGAGTTAATATGTTTTTTATTAGCTCAGAGCAGCAGATTACTGACTGTGACTTATTCTTGTTCTTTGTTTCAGTTGATAATTTGAGCTGTTATAGAACAAACTCATTGGTCCTTACATCATTTGTGGCATTTCCTAAAGCAGAAAAAGGGACTTACATAAACTTTATCCCTTTTTTAAAAGTTACTTGAGCTTTTAATGCCTTCTGAAATTCCCCAACACCTTTTTATTTGTACTAATTATTATACCTCTGCTCGTTGGTTGTCACAGGCTATGAAGCCAGTGAAGACAAGGCTTACAAGGAGCCCCTACTAACCGACCCAGATGAGCCTCCACCGGTGCCAGTGATGCTGGCCGAGCCGGCCCCCGTGGCCTCCGTCACCCTGGAGTGCTCCGAACCCGCCTACACAGAGTTCCCCGAGCCCGGGCAGCCAGGGCGCACAGGTGGGCTGGTTAGTGATTGGTTGTTTGTCGGAGCAGGCTGCGGTCGTCTGCGAAGGCTCGGAGACTTCCAGCCAAACCGGGAACTTAGTTCTGTGGTACCCTGAACCCAGTCGGGGTGACACCTGATGCTTTGTTTTAATCAATATCTGGATTCTCTTGGGACCTGATGATGCATTAAAACCAGCTGCAGAGGTTTGCAGTACAACAAACACAGGATTTCTGTTATTACACGTTTTAAAAACTGTGTTTTCTGCTGATGTGATGTTAAAAATACAGCTGAATTAAGCAGCTGAGGGATTTCTAGCAGTCAACGTGTTCTCAGCTGAGGGAGATTGTATCTTCTTGTCGGTGGCAGCTTAAAGTGAGTAATCGCAGTTAAACTGACTGCGTGATGCCAGCAGTGTTGTGTCTTTATTTTTATTTTTAAGGTCTTGAAATAGCTGTGCTCAAACTGAAGTATCAGGATTTATTATCCGGAGGGAAACGGTGGTCGCTGAAGAGCTGTTTGTTGTTTTTATGTTTTATTTTTTGCAGCATTATAGTTTCACTGCAACAACAACAACAACAACAACAACAACAACAACAACAACAACAACAACAACAACAACAACAGGGCAGCTGAAGGAGGG